TGAATAATGGAAGCACTGTGGGTTGTACTAACTAATGCCTTCCTAACAGATACAGAAAGGAATCTATTCAAACGTCTCCCGATAGCTTGGTTTAGTAACACTCGATTGTGACCTTCGGACAGCATGAATATGTGTGCCATCGCATGTGTGATTTCTTACAGACCAAGCTTGGTTCTTCTCCAGTGTCTCCTTTTGGAGTTGTACCTGATTTTATTACCAGTTTTCATCTGAAGCCACTGGGGAATGGGACAATTTTGCTTTTGTTTCTTGGCCAGGAATCACTTAATCCTGAAAGTCTTGTGAGAAGACATGGCGAGAAACGGAGTAAAGCACACACCACGATGGCGGAGAAAGGAAGAGAGGAACTTTTTTTTTTTTTTTTTTTTTGAGATGGAGTTTCGCTCTTGTTGCCCAGGCTGGAGTGCAATGGCGCGATCTCGGCTCACCGCAACCTCCGTCTCCTGGGTTCAGGCAATTCTCCTGCCTCAGCCTCCAGAGTAGCCGGGATTACAGGCACACGCCACCATGCCCAGCTAATTTTTAGTATTTTTAGTAGAGACGGAGTTTCACCATGTTGACCAGGATGGTTTCGATCTCTTGACCTCGTGATCCACCCGCCTCGGCCTCCCAAAGTGCTGGGATTACAGGCTTGAGCCACCGTGCCCGGCCATGTTTAATTATTGAAGTAAAAATTATAACCCTATCTGATGTTGTTCAAAACACAGTAAACAAACTAAAACTTTTATAGGATAAGTAGTGGAAGGTAAAGGGACATAAAAAGTAAAATTTCTACATTTCACTCAAACTGATAAAATGACCACATCAGTAGATTGTGTTAGGTATGTACAATGCAGTAACTAGAGCTACCACTGAAAAGGCAGTACCAAGAATCATACTCAACAACACTACAGATAAATCAAAATGGAATGAGAAATGTGTTTAAGTAACCTGGAGAAAGGCAAACAAAACAAAATAACAAACAAACAAAACCAGGGAAACCAAACAAGAGAGAATAGAAAACAAAAAATAAAGTGATAGACTTAAGCGTAAGCTCTGACATACTGATAACTGCATTATATGTAAATGGTCTAAAAGTCATTTAATTAAAAGTCAGAGATTGACAGAGTAAATTTAGAATCATGACCTAACTATATGCTGTCCACAAGAAACTCACTTCAAAAATAATGATATAGGCATGTAGAAAGTAAAAGGAAGGGAAAAATATGTATCAAGCAAATATTAACTTTTTTTCTCCCTTAATTTGCTCTGTCACCCAGGCTGGAGTGCAGTGGTGCAATTTCAGCTTGCTGCAACCTCCCGCCTCCCTTGATCAGGCAATTCTCTTGCCTCAGTGGGACTATAGGTGCCCGCCACCACACCTTGTTAATTTTTCTATTTCTAGTTGAGATGGGGTTTCACCATGTTGGTTAGGCTGGTCTTGAGCTCCTAACTTCAAGTGATCTACCCACCTTGGCCTCCCAAAGTGCTAGTATTATAGGTGTGAGCCACTGTACCTGGCCACAAATATTAACTTTTAAAAAGCAGGCCAGGTGCAGTGGCTCACCCCTGTAATCCCAGCACTTTAGTAGGCTGACAAGGTAGGAGGATTGCTTGAGTGCAAGAGTTCAAGACCAGCCAGGGGAACATACTAAGATTTCATTATAATAAAAATAATCTAATACAAATATAAAATAAGCAACACACACATATGTGTGTATATGTATATATATGTACATACAGGGATACTCAACCAAATGTGTGTGTGTGTGTGTGTGTGTGTGTGTGTACATACAAGGCTGAGTATCACTTACCAGAAATCCTGAAATGCTTGGAACCAGAAGTGTTTTGGAGGTTTTATTTTTTCAGATTTTGAAATATGTACATTATATACTGGTTACACATCCCAAATCCCAAATGCCAAATGCTTCAATAAGCATTCCCTTTGCATGCTCAAGAAGTTTCAGTGCTCAAAAACCCTTGGATTTTGGACCATTTCAGATTTGGATTTTTAGATTTGGAATACTCAACCTGTATGTGCTTTTAAAAAATCTATACAGTTATTTTTTCCTCTAGATAATAACATATGATTATGGATAGTCTGCTCCTCTTTCACATGGCAAACATGTTTATTTCTTCATAGGCTAAAATAGTTTTCTAAAACTTAAGAATGAAAGACTTTACATCATTAGTCATTATAAAATGCAAGTCAAAACTACTTGCAAACCTGTTGCACAAGCAATGAGATAATGCTTCATAATCAGTACAATGGCTATATTAAAAAAGACAGTAACAATGTTGAGAAAGACATGGAAGAACTGGATCTCTCATGCATTACTAAGTAAATATAAAAATACATTCGAACTTTGGAAAATAACATAGCAGTTTCTTAACTTTTTTTTTTTTGAGACGGAGTCTCACTTTGTTGCTCAGGCTGGAGTGCAGTGGTGCGATCTCAACTTGCTGCAAACTCCACCTCCCTGGTTCTCTTGCCTCAGCCACCTGAGTAGCTGGGATTACAGATGTGTGTTACCATGCCCAGCAAATTTTTGTATCTTTAGTAGAGATGGGATTTCACCATGTTGGTTAGGCTGGTCTTAAACTCCTGACCTCATGATTTGCCTGCCTCGGCCTCCCAAAGTGCTGAGATTATAGGTGGAAGCCACTGCACCCAGCTCTTAAAATATTAAATACAGATTTATCATATGACCCAGCAACTCTACTTCTACATAAAAATCCAAAAGAAACAAAAACGTAATGTCCCCACAAAGATATGTATGCAAATGTTATAACATTATTCAGAATAGTCAAAAAGCAAAAAAACAGCCCAAATGTCCCTCAACTGCTGAATAAATGAAATGTGGTAAATCTGTATGAAATATTATTCAGAAACAAAAAGGAATGAAGTGGCCAGGTGTGGTGGCTCACGCCTGTAATCCCAACACTTTGAGAGTCCAAGACAGGCAGATCACCTGAGGTCATGAGTTTGAAACCAGCCTGGCCAACATGGTGAAACCCCATCTTGACTAACAATAGAAAAAAAAAAAAAAAAAAAAAAAGCTGGGAGTGGTGGCACATGCCTGTAATCCCAGCTACTTGGGAGGCTGAGGCAGGAGAATCACTTGAACCCGGGAGGCAGAGGTTGCAGTGAACCCATAACCATTGCACTCTCCAGTCTGGGTGACAGGAATGAAACCTCATCCCTGCCCACCCACCCCCCCAAAAAGAATGAAGTATCAATACATCTACAACATGTGTGAGTAGTGTGCTAAGTGAAAGAAGCCAAACATAAAAGACCATATATTACTTGATTCAATTTAAATGAAAATGTCTATAAAAATAAAATTTATAGAGGTAGAAAGCAGATGGGTAGGTGTGTTAGGCTAGGATAGAAGTGGTAATAATTGTATATATAGATAGGCACAAGGTTTCTCTCTGGGATGATGGAAATATTCTAACATTATATTGGGGTTTACAATTGCACAATTCTGTGTATACTTACAATATGCTTACAATCAGTAAACTACATTTTTGTGCATTTAAAACAGGTGAATTTTATGGTATATAAATTATACTTCAATAAAGCTTTAAACAGAGTGAAGGAAATCAAAACTGTAATGGTAAAGTCTCATTGCAAAGAATTTATACATTACAAATTCCATTTTGTTTCTTATCTCATGTATTTGGTGGCACCTTTCTTGGAGCAACAACATAGGATTATTCCTTTTCCACCAAGAGTATTTGACAATGCAACTGAAACTAGTTTAAAGCAATGGTCCAGTCCTCTATGAGCTTTCAAACTGCTATTTGATAATATACAAAAAAGTGAACAATCTGAAATGGTATTAAGGGGTGAAGACAGTGATTAAAGAAACTGGAAATGATAGTCTTTAAATGAAAAAAAAAAAAAAAAAAAAAAAAAAAAAAAAAAAAAAGGAACCAAAGAAATAAGGTCTTAAGAGAATAAATGATTAAGGGGTCAATATACTAACTGTACATAACTATCCTGAATATTAGATATAGTGCGTATTTTCTTAAATAAATATAATAGTGTTGGCTAAGGTATCATCCTGACATCCTGAGAAGACAGAAAAACAGAAACATGTAGAAGGAACTGCAGAGAGAAATTCTCTTTACATAGTAGCTATCACCTACCAGAAAAATGAAAAGTGATCTTTTTATATAATCTACTATAATGGCTGCCAAATCAAAAGATTTAACAGCTCTAGGCTGGGCATGATGGCTCACGCCTGTAATCCTAGCACTTTGGGAGGCGGAGGCGGTTGGATCACTTGAGGTCAGTAGTTCGAGACCAGCCTGACCAATATGGTGAAACCCCTCTCTACTAAAAACACAAAATTAGCTGAGCATGGTGGCACAAGCCTGTAATCCCAGCTACTTGGAAGGCTGAGGCAGGAGAATCACTTGAACATGGGAGGCAGAGGTTGCAGTGAGCCACTGTATTCCAACCAGGGCGACAAGAGCAAAACGCTGTCTCAAAAAAAAAAAAAAAAAAAGATTAAACAGCTCTAAATGTTGACATACTCTGTATTTACTTGCAATAATGAGAAAAATTCATCATACAGGAATGGAACATGTCTAGACTTTTGTTTGTAATACCTTAAGTTACAGCTCAAGATCAAGTTAAGCTTTCTTTTTCCATTAATATACTACATATTTTATAATTTACATAGTGTTTAACTCTGTAATATTTTTTTTTTTTTTTGAGACGGAGTTTCGCTCTTGTTACCCAGGCTGGAGTACAATGGCGTGATCTTGGCTCACTGCAACCTCTGCCTCCTGGGTTCAGGCAATTCTCCTGCCTCAGCCTCCCGAGTAGCTGGGATTACAGGCACGCGCCACCATGCCCAGCTAATTTTTTGTACTTTTAGTAGAGACGGGGTTTCACCATGTTGACCAGGATGGTCTTGAACTCTTTTTTTTTTTTAAATCCAAAATTTGTTTACTGAGATGGTTTCCCACTCATCTTGATCAGACTGCTTTTAGTGCTGCTTCTTCCTGAAAGAACATCCTTCTGTAAGCCCTGCTTTTCCTCCTGTAGGCTGGCAGAGGACAGTGGAGCAGCCAACACGCAAAACTACCGTTTGTGCATGGCTGAAGACCGTGGTGATTTTATAGCATCCTGGACATTTCACATCCATGAAGTAGGAATTGGGGCTCTGCACCAGGCGTTTCTTCTTGTGTTTCTTCTCCTCTTCTGGAGAGGGATGAAGGAGATCCTTTGCGAGAGGCATGTTCTCGTGGGTAGGTCGTCACCGGCGGAAAAGCGGTCTCGAACTCTTGACCTTGTGATCCACCTGCCTCCGCCTCCCAAAGTGCTGGGATTATAGGCGTGAGCCACCACGTCCAGCCAACTCTGTAATTTCATGAGGCAATTTCATTCCTCCTCTTGAAAATCAAAGCATAGCTGTGTACAAAGAAACTTTCTCCTTCAGTCACTACTACACAGTCACTCCCACTATGGCAAAGGGTATATCCAGTTATCTCTCAGGAATCTTGAGGTTGAAAACAGTTTATAACCACTACAGTAATACAATACATAAGACATTAAAGAGTTTTAGAATGTAAAGCTTTAGCTATTTGTTTTAACCCAGAGATGTCAAGTAACTAACCCAAAGACAGTTAATAGCAGATCACAGGATGTAGAATCCATGCCATTCAACCACATTTCTATTTTCATTAATTCAATCCAATTTGTTTTCAAGTAAACATTTTCAATCCTGAATAAAAAGCTTATTCAAGCCAAATAAGATGAGAGTACTAATTTTTCTGAGGGGATAACAATAGGTGGACAGATGAACATAAGCTATAAGCTATCTACCATCTTTCCTTCATCTAACATAGGTAACCTTTTTCCTCTTTTCTAAGGCCTACCAGGAGATTTATGGATCGCATAAAAAAATTATCACAATTTTTCCCAAGAAGCAGCTACCATGCAAAAAAATGAAAGGGAAAGATGAACATGAACTTTTTTCTTCAAGAATTTCAGTGAAGGAAAGAGGAAGAGAACGTAAACATAAGATTTTTCTGGGATAATCCTTAGGGCCTGTACATACTGATTCCTTCCTCCTAAATTCAGTTGCCAGACTCTCAGTATGTGCAGTATTTTTCAATAACCATAGCATTATCTGTAGTTCTGATGTTTCATAATGCAATACAGATCAGGTTAAAAAAGAAGGTGATAAGAACGGATCTGAGAAAGCCAAGGCTGATCTGAATGGGATTGGTGCTTACAATGGAATGTTAAAAATACTATTTTCAAAGACTGTTTTGTGAAGTGGAGGAAAATTCAAAAATAATGGTTGTCTTAGTTCATTTTTCACTACTACAACAGAATAGCTGAGACTGGGTAATTTATAAAGAACAGAGGTTTATTTTGTATAGTTATGGAAGCTAGAAAGTCCAAGACTGAGGGGCCCACATCTAGCAAGGGGCTTTTTGCTTCATCAACCCATGGTGGAAGGTAGAAGGACAAGTGGGCATGACAGAAAGCAAGAGGGCCAAAGTTACTTTGATAAGAAACCCACTTTCACAATATGAACCTGCTCTTGTGATAAGAATATTAATCTAATCATGACAGAGCCCTCATAACCTAATCACCTCTTAAAGGTCCCATCTCTCAAACACTGTTGTATAGGGGATTAAGTTTCCAACACATGAACTCTGGAGTGTACTTTGAAACCAAAGCAATGGTATTTTTCATTTGTTTGTTTTTTTAACAGATATAGTATCATATGTTGCCCAGGCTAGCCTCAAACTCCTGGGCTTAAGGGATTCTCCCACTTCAGCCTCCAGAATAGCCAAGACTATAGGCACAAAACATCCCACCTGGCTAACAATAGTATTTTAAAAAGCAGAACAGAAAACTAAAACGCATAGTATAGTGATAATCTGCTTTTTGTTAGCTTAAACTGACTCTCTCTTTCTTAGCTGAGAGCTGTTGAGGCTTCTTGTTAGCTTCTTGAGCAGGACCGACTCCATCTTAGCTTCTTCATTTTAGTTATTCTCCTCATTATTAGTAACTGTAGCATGTAGATGGGGCAGGGTGACACCAGGCACATCCAGGAGTGCATTTGCTGATAAGAGACTGAGTTAAGCAGTACCAGCAGAGCACAGGAATGCAGGTACTGTCGAGTACCCAGAGCCCCCATATCTATAAGTTTTATGTCTTTTTATGACAGCTGTAGCCCTTGCACCTGGTACTGTATTATTTCTCATGTAGTAGTTTACCTTTTTTTTTTTTTGAGATGGAGTTTCGCTCGTTACCCAGGCTGGAGTGCAATGGCGTGATCTCGGCTCACTGCAACCTCTGCCTCCTGGGTTCAGGCAATTCTCCTGCCTCAGCCTCCTGAGTAGCTGGGATTACAGGGACACGCCACCATGCCCAGCTAATTTTTTGTATTTTTAGTAGAGACGGGGTTTCACCATGTTGACCATGATGGTCTCGATCTCTTGACCTCATGATCCACCTGCCTTGGCCTCCCAAAGTGCTGGGATTACAGGCCTGAGCCACCACGCCCGGCCTAGTTTACCTTTTAACTTTTTTGCTTACTCTGATTCTGAGAAAAAATTGCTTCAGCTAGGTTCCCCCTCCCTTTTCAAACTAGGGTATAAAAAACCCCCTAACTCTTTCTTCGAGGCTGAGAGAATTTTGGGTGTTAGCCATCTCTCGGTTGCCAGCTAAAATAAAGGACTCATTATTCAATCTCAGAGTGTGGCGCATTCCTTGACTCACTCCAGTTTAACAGTATGGTCCTGGTTTTTCAAAAGAGATATAGGTAAGATCTGTCCATTCAAAAAAGGTCTATCAAAACATTAACAGAAATTATTTATTGCTGGTGGGATCATGGGTGTTTTCCCCCCATTACTTAACATGTTTTTCTATTTTCTACAATGAACATGAATTATTTTTATTTTATTTACTTCTTCAGTAAATACTTTATAAAAATAATTTTAACATGTTTTTCTATTTTCTACAATGAACATGAATTATTTTTATAAAATATTTACTGAAGAAGTAAATACTTTTAACTTAATGAGATCACTGTCTTATAAAACATGGCTTAGTCATATAACTCCCTTATAGTAAACAAAAAAAAGTGGAAATGCCAATACATGGAGGTAGTATTTCAAAAGAAGAATCTATTTTAAGTTTTCCAAAATTAGGACAACTTCATCCAATTTTCTCAATTCTTGCTTTCTCACCTCAGTTTGGACTTTGCTCCCACAAATCCTTTTTAAAAATCTTTGATTTCTCCCTTTGAACTTATTCCTCCCTTCTGCTTTCAAACAAGATCAGATTCCCCCCATCAACTCCTATATTCTTTCTCTGCTTCCCTTTCCTGCCAAATTTCTGCAATGAGTGCTTTCTAGCTTCCACTTTCTCATTAACTCTTTGTAATCTTGCTTTTATTTTGCTCTCTCATCTGAAAAACAAAATGCATCTTAAATTAAACCTATATATTGGAACCTTTATAGCACTGATGATGCTCATCAAAGTCAGCCAAGCCAACTCTACTGACACTGCTCATTTTTCATCACCATTTAGCTCTTTTGTCACTTCATGGCCCTTCCTGGACTCTTTCTGTTCATATGACACAGCTGTCCTGACTCTCCTCGTTCCCTTACCATTCTTCTGGTTCCTTTTCCTCCAGCAACTCCTCTCTCTACTAAAATTAAGGAAATATACTTTCATGGCTTCAGTTATTTCTCTTGACCCAGGTCTTCCTTAACTTCTTTGTATTTGGCCCCTGGTCAGCCACTGCTAGGTCCAAGTCAACACATCTAAAACAATTCTCTTCAATGTCAAACCAACTTGCTGCCCTTCTTAGTTATCACATTTGAAATGACTGGCAAAGTTCTCTCAGACTGGAAACATGGGAGTTATTTTGACTCCTTTCTCCTCCTTTCTAACAAATCACTAAGTCTTTTCAAATCTTCCTTCAGGCAGGGCACAGTGGCTCATGCCTGTAATCCCAGCACTTTGGGAGGCTGAGGCAGGATGACTGCTTGTGCAATCCAGGAGTTCAGTATCAGCCTAGGCAACATAATGAGGTCTGTCTCCAAAAAACAGCACACAACACAACACAACACAACACAACAAAACCTTTCTGCAAAATATACAGATCCATTCAGATCTTTTTTCTGCCTGATAACTTCAAGCCTAAATCACCATAATAATTATTTGATTTTCCTGCCACCGGTCTTCTACTGGTCTTTGCAAAGCATGCTATACAATCATTACCTAAAGTGTTCATAGGAAAACACTACCACTGAATTTCCCAAGAATTTTAACGGATGCTTTATTCTATTTAAGTATGGTTGGATATGCTGTATGTTTAACTGTTTCCTGGAAATAAAATATATTAAAAAGGCTCTAAGAAGCTCACACAAGATTATTTCATGATTCCCAAACTTAGCCAACATCCTATCTTATTTTTAACAGATACATATAAAATTTGAAAAATGCAGATTTCTAAGAAATAGTTTTTGGAATTGATTTACTACACCAAGACTAAACTATTCATCTAAATATCACAGACATACTCTCATTTCTCCTCAGATCATATTAATCTTTCACCTCTTAAACACTGAAAGTCTTCATAATAATTACATAAATTACTAATTTTTTAAGTTAGAAGAGAGAAAACACAAAATATTTCAGCTTTTTTTTTTTTTTTTTTAAATATTGGGATAGGGAGGAAAAAGGGTTTTGCCAGGGGAAAAGTTCAACTACAATGGTGTTATTTAATAGTATCATTAAAAGAGTGCGCACCCGAGCGCCACCGCTGGTCCCGCATGTGCCCCGCTAAGAGGGAGGGGCGGGCCGGAGGTGGGGGCAGAGGGGTTGTGGTTCCACAGCAGCAGGGGCTCCTGTGTCCTTGTGTGGAAATGACACACGGAGTCCCGTCACGTCACACGAGAGCGCAGCGCTCAGACACACACAAAGAGAGGGGAAAACACACGGTGCCCGCCCGGCCGCCGCCTCCAGCACCTCCCGGGGCCGCCCTGGCCAGGCCCTCCGCGCGCGGCCCCCACTCCCCGGCCCCGCGCCTTCCCCTCCACGTGGCGCCCAAACTCGGCGTGGGCCTGCCAGGCAAAGTACAGAACCCGCGTCCCAGATGTGTCCAGCCCCCATTACGGAATACGGCTTGTATGGTGAAATAGAAGATGAACTCAACTGAATTCAGTGAAGATGTAGAAAAAGTTCTAAAAAATAACACTGTGAAAGTGGAGACACAAGCCGAAGATG